TCGTGTAAACACAAGATACTGCAGTGCCCCAACGATACTTCTATACAAAGAAGGATTATTATATGGCTGACCATCATCTTTAAGCAGTCTACTATAAGGAAGACAAGGAGTTGCAGCAGCTTTGGAGTCGAACATTTCTGTTTTCTTCAACAAGTCTTGGATATACTTCTCTTGAGATAAGAATAAACCAGCCTTGGTTTTAGTAATCTGAATTCCCAAGAAAAAGTGCAAAGATCCAAGATCTTTAATATCAAACTCCTTTCTCAAAGCAGAAATAACCTGTTGTATAGCATCAGTGGCACTACCAGTTATTATAATATCATCGACATACAAAAGCAATATCACAATTGAGCTGCCAACATGCTTCACAAACAGAGAATTATCTGAATAGGTATTACTGAACCCCAAGTGTGGTAGAAACTGAGTAAATCTGTCATTCCAAGCTTGGGGAGCTTGTTTTAATCCATAGAGTGATTTGTGTGTAACTTGCAAACCAATGAAGGGTACTTAACATCTTCAAAACCAGGTGGTTGCGACATATACACCTCTTCTTGTAATATGCCATGCAGAAAAGCGTTCTTAACATCTAACTGCCTTAATTCCCAATCAAACTGAGAAGCCAGTGCAAGAACCAACCTTACAGTTGTTGGTTTGACAACAGGACTGAACGTCTCTCCATAATCAAGACCTTGTTCTTGACTAAAGCCATTTGCTACTAAACGAGCCTTGTGTCGTGCTATTGTCCCATCAACATGTCTTTTAATCTTGAACACCCATTTACAACCCAACAAATTTTTCTGAGAAGGAAGATGAACCAAGGTCCAAGTCTTTTGAGAATGCAATGCCTCAATTTCCTCTTTCATAGCACCAAACCACATAGGAACCTTCAAAGCAGTTTTATAAGTTGTAGGTTCTGTTTGTGTAAAATCAACAGTAGAGTCACTGTGAAGGGGGGCAATAAGAGCTTTCTTCTTAAAAATGCCACTTTTAGACCGAGTTTGCATAGGATGAAGATTCAGAGGTGGTATACTCATAACCACTTGCAAACTATCAGTACTAAATTCAGGGACCACTGCTGCAAGAGAATCTTGGGCAATAATGGACTGAGAGGCAGGTATAGGTGACGGTGGAGGAACATTTGTAATTGGTGAGGAAGATGGTTCAATAGTAGATACCAAAATATTCTGAAGGTTAGGGACCAAAGAAGGGGAATTGACTGGAACATGTGATGTTTGTGAAGGTTGTGATGTTGCAGTAAAGGAAGCATAAGGAAAATCTAACTCATCAAATATGACATGCCTTGAGATATAGATTTTCTTATGACTTAGCTCATAACATATGTAACCCTTATAACAAGATGCATATCCCAAGAAGACACATTTCAAAGTCTTAGGTTGTAATTTGGTGGTGTTATACGGTTTTAAAAGAGGATAGCATGCACATCCGAATACTCTAAGGTGCTGGATATCAGGTATGGCAGAATGAAGACTTTCAAAAGGTGAATTATGATCAATAACAGAAGATGGCATTCGATTAATGAGGTAAGTAGTTGTTTGACAAGCATAAGACCAGAACTTGGATGGTAATTTGGCATTTTGCAGAAGTGTAATGGCAGTTTCAACAATATGTTTGTGTTTTCTCTCAGCTAAGCCATTTTATTCTGGGGTATAAGGACAAGATTTTTGGTGAACAATACCATTTGTGGTGAGAAAAGATTGAAATGTGTGTCCTATGTACTCTCCACCCTCATCACTCTGTAATATTTTGATCTTTGCAGAAAATTGAGTATACACAAACTGATGAAATGTAGCAAAGACAGAATGAAGATTTGATTTATTGAGTAAGGTAAACATCCAGCAAAATCGGGTACATTCATCAACAAAAATGGCATAATACCTAAACCCATCAATGGATATACATGGTGCAGGTCCCCACAAATCACTATGGATGACTTCAAAAGGAATTACAGATCTAGTTGACACAGATTGAAAGGGAAGTTTAGCAAACTTTCCTTCCATACAACTTTGACAAACCATAGGAGATGTATCCTTTACAACCGACACTTTGGACTTATGGAGCATAAGAAAAACAATAGGGTTTGAGGGATGACCTAATCGGTTATGCCACAAGGTAGAAGTGACAAGTTTCCCAAGACAGGTAATGGCTTGATTTGCTGAGAACACTGGAGCATAAGGAAGTGCAGCTAAAGAAGGAATGGGATAAAGTCCATTATTGCAGAGCCCCTTAAACAAGATTCTCCCGTTGGCCTTGTCCTGAATCCAAAAACAGTGAGCATAAAAAATTAGCCAGCAATTGTTGTCCAAACAAATCTTATGAACTGACAACAAATTATGAGACAGTTTAGGCACATAAAGAACTGAGTTTAATTTGATGGATTGAACTGGAGTTCTTAAGAGAGAATCGCCTATATGTGTAACATGCAAACCTTCCCCATTAGCAGTTTGCACAGTATCATGTTGAGGATATGGCGAAGCAAGAGACAAATTATTTAGATCATGTGTCATATGATTGGTGGCACCAGAATCTGTTAACCAAATTTGTTGAAGAACTCCAGTAGATGTAGAGGCAGAAACGGAAGGCATGGCATATGAAGTAGAGGCTGACATTTGATTAGGCATATGACTAGGGACCATATTCACTAGTGAAGAAGGCATCACAGGGTGAAACATCATTGCAGGAACATTATATGTAGGCTGAGAAGCCATCATAGCAGGATGTTGTACTCCAGAAAATGTAGTTTGCATTGCAGCCATGGGGGAAAAATTATTCTTAACCTTATTTCTATATAAGCATGTCTTAGCAGTGTGATTACTCCTATCACATATCTGACAATTTTCAGAGACATCAGTACTTCGATAAGCACAATTAGCAGCAGTATGGCCTTGCTGTGAACACAACTGACATATAATGGTAGAAGAAGATCCACCATCATGAAAATGTGAGGGACTACCAAGAATTCCAGGTGAAAAATCATGTATAACTGGTTTAGAGTATCTCTGACCTTGATTGTTATAGTGCATTTGACCTTGATTGTTGAAAGCCTTGCCTTTGCCTTTAAACTTGGATCGGTTTCCACCATTGTAAAAATTTGGCTGTCCAGAAAAACCATTATAACCAGAAGACTCATGAACTTTAGAATTTCCATGAAAACCAGAAGATGCAACAACATTATGGTCCATATCTGAATTCTTGACTACCATTGCAGAGAGAAATGGAGTGGTTGATGTATTTTCAATAAGGGTTTCCTCAGCAAGTAACTGAGCACGAAATTCCTTTAGAAAAATGACATTTTCTCGACCACGAATCACACATCGGAATATGTTGTATTCTGCAGGTAACCCATTTAAGGCCAAGATTACGATATCTTCGTCAGCAAACATGACTCCAGCAGCGGCAAGATAGTCTCGTGCTTCTTTGATGCGTTGAAGATATTAAGTAACTGAGTCTGCCCATTTCTTGATTGTTTGCAGATCAGACTTCAACTGAAAGATAGAGGTTTTACTGACTGTAGAAAATTGCTCCTGAAGACGAACCCATAAGTCTCTCGCACTGGAACTACCAATAGCACACGAGATTTCAATTGAAGACAAAGTAGTAATGAGTTGCATCAATGCCCGATCATGCATCTTCCAGACCTTGTATGCATCAGACTCAATTCCTGATTCAGACCCACTAGAAGCAACTCCGGAATCACAAGAAGAATGGGACATGAATTGAGAAAGACAGGGATTGGTGGCATCAACAAAGTCCATAATACCATAGCCTTCGAGCATAAGCTTCATCTGAAAATGCCATTGAAGATAATTTGTATCGTCTAATTTGACTGTCACCGACGTCGAAACCGATGAAATCAACCCAGTAATCGGTGATTGCAGAATTTGCAATTGCGAAGCAGTAACCATTGTAAGAAATTTCTCTTTGAGAACAAACGTCAAACACCTGGTGTGCAAGAAAAATAGAAGATGAAGAATACCAAGAAGCTGGTAAGAAATGCCCAGAAAAATCAGAAAGAAACCAGCCAAAGAAACTGTAAATCTTGATGAGAAGCGGAAGCAGACAGATCGCAGGATCGAAGAAGCTTAAATCTAAGCTATACGGGCGAGTGATACCATGTTAAGCATAGTGAAGAACTCAAGAATATAGAAAACACAGAGAGAAGAAATTAGAGAGAGAAGAGTTAAAGCTTGAGAGAGAAGATAGAAAGAAGATACACAGAAAATCATTGATATATATTCTTCAGTTTTCAATCTTACACATATATGCTTCTATATCTAGTTACAACAACCTTATCCTTCTATTACAACATTATTCATTACAACTAAGCCTAACAACCTTTATAACTGCCTAGTGTAATCTATCCTTCCAATTACTGACACGTGACCTAATCCTCATCATTCATTCTTCATACTCTAACAGTATGTTGGTTTTGGGTTAAAAAAAATTGAAATTTCACAATGATTTTGATCCAAAACAATTGATCTTTAAACTAATACACACATGCAAATCGAACTTCCAAACCAATGGATCTTTAAACTCACTCTTTGGACTAAAAGGAAACGGAAGAGTGATAAGAAAAACTACCTCTTATAGCACTAATTTGATTTTGAAAAATCAAAGTTGATCAACCTTTGTGCAGGACCTTCTTTCCTCCGTGATCTTGTCGCGATCTCCCTCGCACCAAAGTGATGGTGCCTCTACTTTCTGACGCCTCCCAGAAATAAGTCTCATGGATGCTGAACAACACAGAGGCTAGTACTCTCCTGCTATTATAGGGTTGGTAAGGATGATGGATGTTTTAAAAATAAAAAAAAAAAACGTTATTATGTATACTAAGGGGTGAGGGAGCGGACTAAGTCTAACGAAAGGCTAGCAATGATATAGTTCGACAAATTCGACTTTGGCGAGAGTCGAACCTAAGACCTCTCACTTACAAGTGAAGAGAAATATTATTAGACCGTAGTACTAAGGGACAAGAATGATGGATGTTGAACATGTATATATGCATAAGGTTGTTTCTAAAGCAACCCTCACTCACCTCTCTCTCCTACATCCGGCCATAAGGCCTTTCAATCCCTTAATTGGGCTCCATCTAACTTTAAGTCACTTAAATGCTTTAATCCTTGATAAACATTGAATCTTCCACAAAGCAGAAATTAAACTTAATGTCTGTTGCATTATGCAAAGAAACCAAGTTCCTAAACCGTTTTATGACAACAAAGAGCTGAGATTGCTGTAAGTGGCCATCAGGTTTGCAAATACTGCAAGAAGGATCATGGAGACTGACACAATCTTGTCCCTTGTAGTTGCTATACAATGAGGATCCCTGAAACACACCAAAATCATCAAAGAAAATAATATTGAAAATATCAGCGTCTTACAATGTTTGTATCATATACACAAAAGAAATTGGTTACAAACTTTTAATTGAAAATAGAACTGGAGAGACACTAAGTTAATAATAAAGGAGCGCTAAACTGCGGTTTATCTATGAAGGAAATGAATTCTACACTCCCATTTCACCTTTTTCAGTCATTGGATAAAGGTCGTACCCAATGCACAAGGCTCCCGCTTTACGCAGGGTCTGGGAGAGGTGAATGTCGGCTAGTCTTACCCCCATTTATGGAGAGGCTGCTCCCAAGTCTCGAACCCGAGACCTACCGCTCATGGGCGAAGACACTTGCCATAAACCCCCTTTTTCAGTCATTGGATGCATAAATTAAAATTTTAAGGAACATAACTGGCGGGAGAAATGCATAAGGTGAAACATGAGTGCAGAATTCACCTTCCTATCTACGGCTTATGGTGGGTTTAGTGTTTCCTCTGGTTCTGTTTTCAATTAAAAGTTTGTAACGCGTTCTAACTAAAGTGAGTTTACTCTAGTTCAAGAAAGAAAAAGACTCACTTGAGAGTGATGGAAGCAGGGAAAACAAATGCAAGTAATCCTCCCATGGTTGCACCTGTGAACTCAAAAGCTATCCAAATATTTGGTACGAATATTGCACCCACAAGGGCAACGAAGACAAGCCCTAAACTTTCCAACACAAATCTCTTCTTGTCTAAAGCCAGAGGCCTTGCCGAGGGGAAAAGGAGGCCGTCCAAGTTGAGCCGGAGCGGTAAGAAAATGGTTGGGAATACTAATATGACGTGCCCTGCGTAGCTGATTCGAATAATGTCGTTGAACAGCCAACTGTAGGGGATGCCAATGTCGGTGTCAAAGTTGGAGAGCAGGTCAGAATATGTTGATTCGCCAAAGAGAAGGAACCCAAAAATGCCTGTCATTACATAGACAACTGCACATAGGGCAAGTGAACCTCGAACAACTGCTTGCATTAGGGAAGGATCTTCAAGCTCGTTCTGAATTGTGTGTACTGCAAGTAATCAAATTTCGTATTTTCAGAAAGGAAAAACCATTTAGCCACGCAGAGATTCTCTTTGTGTTTAGAGAAAATCTCATCACTTAAACAATTTTACCCAACTACAATGGACGCAAAAGACCTAAACCTTCACTTCTTTTTCCCTCGAAAGGGCGCAATTGCACACGAAAACAAGTTGTTGAATGTAAAGAAGCAGGGAATGAAATTGAATATAAAGAGATGATCATCTTGAATACCATTGTAGTGACAGATGTATGCGAAAACAACGACAGGGACTGCGGTGAAGAGGTTAAAGAATGATGCAGAATCAGTCACATTTGGAAACCATTTTGGAGTCTCGATGCTTCCGTCCATTAGTTTGTAAGCTGTGACTCCAATGACAACAAGAAGAAACACAAGTGCCAATCCAACTGATATGATAGAGATATATCTTGCTGAATCTGCAGCCATAAGCACAAAGACATATCCCTACCCAACTTAGTCTAAGCTGAAATTTCACAGGAAAACAGGAAATGTAATGTAGAAACAAATAGGAACTATTACCAACCAATACGCTCGAAGAACATCAATGGTAAAAATATGACAACAGTTACTGTGACAAGAACAAAGGTGCGGCTAGTCCACCAGTGAGCTCCAAACCACCCTTCCAAAATGCCGGTGTGGTGAACCTCTTTTGAGTTTGATCCGGAAAGCACGTCCTCTAGTTTTTAAAAGGAAACAAACACTATTAGAACCGTCAAAGAAGAGAAGGGTTATTAGCGCTCCAAAATAGTCAGCGTGCACTGTTCGCTTTTTAATTTTATAGAAGCGCAGGATAATACTCATACCAATTATGATCATGTACACAATAAGAGAGCCAGTGTTGTAGATAACAATGCAGATCTGAAGCACAACCTTCCCTATTCTTCCAAAGGCATCGCCCATGACATTTCCATAGGAACATGCAGACCCTGCCTTGCTGAATCTCAACAGCATCTCGATCGACGCCTGGATAACAAACGCAACTGTAACGATCAACACAATCCCGGGAACGAGCCCCAAGAGTTTCAGGGTTGCGGGCAGGCTCATGATGCCCGAGCCGACGATTGTGCATGACAGGTTGAACACCGAGCCATGAAAGGATGCTCCAGAAACCTTCTCGCGATCTTGTGTGCTTGATAACAAAGGAACTCGCTCATCGGCGCTTTCGATGTTGTGTTTTGACATGTTTTCTTGATCTCCATCAGTCATTTTCTAACGCTTCTGAGGCTAAAGAGCTTCAGGAAATATTTTTGTTACAATAAATACATTTAACTGAAATTTTATGATATAACACATCACGCTAACCAATCTCCGCTATTTCAGTTAAATGTTATTTATATCATATAATTTTTCTTCTTCTTTGTTACAATCTGAAGACTCGGCCTTCGACGTATTATAACCATAACGCGTTACGCCACTTTCACATATTATAATCCTAACGCATTACGCCGCCCCTCCCTTGCCACTTGAACTAACCTTGTCGGACATATGTCAATGATCTGTGATAATTTATATATGTTAATAAATAATAAATATAATAAGAATTAACATAATATAAACTAGAATACGAATTATAAAAATAGACAACTTGAAGATCGAGGCTTGCGTACCGCAATGTCCTTGAAACAGAAATTTCATCCCTACTCTGTGTTTGTAGTTCTACGGACGTCTACTTCACCATAATTCAACGATCAAGTTAAAATTCCAGCACCGGAAAAATTTAACTTCTGGCGAATTTAGTGTGGTTCTCTCAGTAAGAAGGTTTAGGAATGTAGATGATGAAGTTGATTATTTTCTGTATTCTAAATGTCATGTAGATGGATGTATATATATAGCAGATGGATGCCTGTTTGCCACAGGTATGAGAATGGAGTGTGACTGTTGGGAGACATCTCTTCATAGGGGTGCTTTGCTCTGTGTTCAGAAAGAACTCTCAGACTTCATCTGAAAGATGAGTCTTTTCATAAAAAATAAATAAACAATTTAATTTGAATTTAATTAAAAATAATTAATTAAATCTGAAAATTAATTAATTAAATAATTTAATTATTAAAGCCCAAGAGCCCCAAGGCTCCAGACCCATCTTTTGATAATTAATTATATACTATTTATAATTAATTATATATTAATTACCAATTAATTAATACACCTCAAAGCCCAACCCCAAGGATGAGCCCAATTTTAGTCTCCAGGTCTATTACTCCAATCACTTTCTATAAAGGACAAAGCCTTATAAAGTGATAAAAACTTTTGAAAATGTGGGACAAAGAAATTTCTACTCAAACTACTCAAATTTCCAACAACCGTAACGGCTTGACGATAAAAACTCATACGTGAATGTCAGAAACAAAGAAGTAATCTTAGTTAGATTTGCATCTATTGATCCTTTATTTATTTGTTTGTTTTAACAGCTCAGTAAAAAATTATAAGCGTTCAAAATTCATAAGAAGGGTAAACTATCATGGAAGTTGTTTACTGTGTTTACATTCATTTATATAAGTAATTACCACCTAATTACCCAACAAGCTACAGAAAATGCTCTGGTCAATAGTGGTAACTTCCATCAACCTCTGGAAATCTCAATGATTTTGAGGATATATCTACTTCAGTAGAGCAAAAACTCGTCCCTTTTGAAGAGTACGACGATTAACGCTACCGGAGATTTTACAACTCAACAGCGGATATCAGCAAGTATCTTGCTATGTCTGGATAGCCGAAGGGCAGTCAGCGTATAACTTCGGTTCAGAATATAAGCCTTCTTTTCCCTTTTTCTTTCTTCTGCAGCAACATCAAAATGGGCAGTCTTGTTGGAGAAAAAAATAAGCTCCGGCCGAAACCAGTAGAATGAACGTTGCCACGAATAAATGCTTATAGCTTAGAACTCCGGTATCAATTCTCCTCGCGGTCTCGAACTCTGCTGTGGAATCAGTATGTTCCACTTCAGTCTCACAACTCCCACCAACAGATGAATTATTCCGAGTCCTATCCGGCTGAAAAGTACAAATACGAAACCCATTTTACAAATGTAAATCTCAGTAGAAGACGCTACATGCAGAAGATGCGAAGAGAAGTAGTCGATAAAAAATGTGAACACTGAATATGAATTAAATTGCTTAGCGAAAAATAAAAGGAAAACTAATAAAAAGAGCTTGAAAACTTTGAGTTTTAACGATAAGGACAAAATAAAGAGTAAAGTGAATAGTATCAGGATTGACTTTTTAGTGTAAAAATGTGGTTTTTCGTTAAAGTGAACAGTATGAGGAGCTTTTTGTTAAAGTTCCCAAAAATAAAAGCATTCATGTAGCATGAGAAATATAACATTGGAAAGAAATTAAAACAAAAACGCTGATTTATTAACAAAGCGAGGTAAACATAAGTCAACCAGGGTTCATCATAGTACTGACCTTAGAATTGCTAGCAGACAACTCATCTTCTTCTTTAGTTTCTCTCGTAACTGTAGCCATTTCATGCTTCGAGTCTTCATGATTTTCTCTATCATCATTTCCCACGACCACAGAACGAGAATTGTTTGTTTGCAACTTCAGTTTTAAAGTTTTATTCTCCGTAGTTAATGAAGAAATCTGCACATTCAATCACCAGCAGCTAAGGAGAATATCTAGAGTTGGAAAAACACATTGTTCACATTTTCAACTAAATACTAAAATGTTAAATAACCAAAAGGAAAAAGAAATCAAGTGCCATGTCATTTGAAAGATACAAGAAAAAAGAGACATTTCCCACTTCACAGTCAAAAACCAAACTTGAACTTGAAAAATAAATCAAATATAGGTGAATACCTGCTTATGAAGGCGCTCTCTCTCAAAAGCAAGTTGCATCAATAAGTTTGTAAGAACTTTGGACTGAATACCAATATCAGTCGCAGTAGCTATTTTTACTTCCTCGGCTTGATGTAAAGATGCCTCCAAGAATTCCAATCGACCCCTCAGAAAGCTTATTTCCTCATTTAAATCTGCATTGGATTCTGATAAAATTATACACTTGTCCTCCGTACTGTCGGCCCGATTTTCAGCTTTTAAAACCTTCTGCTTTAGATTTTCAATCACATTTTCCATGTCAGTGACTGTAGAATTCAACATGTTCTGTTTCTCCTGGCTAGCTTCAGCAGATGCCACTGCATGCTGTAACCGGATATCTGCTTCCCTCAACTTTCTCTCAAGTGAATCCACCGTCTCCAAGGCACTGCCAGCGCTTTTAAGAAGTCCGAGCTCTTCATTAAGTTCCGTATTAGTCTCTGTTAACAATTTACTTTTGGCTTCTGCATTCTCGGCTCTGGCTTCAGCTTTATATATGTTCTCTTTAAGATCAGCAATAACATTTTCCAATTCACTGATTTCAACACTATGCTGCTCTTCAAGTGCGCCCACCTTTTCCCTCAAGGTAAAGGCCTCGGAATCAGCGATAATTAACTTATCTTCAGCTTCCTTCAAGCTGTCTTTTAAGCCGGCTGTCTGTTCTAGAAGGAAGCTATTTAGTTTTGCGTTGCTGCTTTCAAGCTTCCGCAAAGTATTTTCTTTGACTTCAGCCTGACAATCGAGTTTCGATCTTAGCTCAGCTTCTCGCTGAGCTGAACCATTTAAATTAAACTGGAGAACCTGGAGTCTACCCAATAGCTCTTTTGAAATACCCCTCAGAACCTCAGATGCATTATCTGCCTGTAACCACCTATCCAAAGCATCTGCCGCTTCCTCCTCCATGCAATATGCTTCTTGCTCCGAAGCATCCACCCTCAATTTCAGATCTTCTTCAATCTGTTTTGATTCGGTCAATTTCTTTTCAAGATCCATCTCTCTTGCCAAAGACTTCTCTAGCATCCTCAGTATATGTCTTTGCTGTTCTACGGATTGCATTTTTATCTTTACATTTGTGCTAGAAACTTTGCCATCCCTTAAATCAACCACTCCTTCGTTATTGTTCCCTGTCAATACGCAAAGCAAAGGAATGCAAAAGAAAATAAACAGTTATACTCTAGAATATTTCACAACTTAAAGGACTTGTGCACTTACAAAAGTGGTTACAGACCTGCCTGGTGTATGCAATAAATTTCGGGCAACTCCATCACTCATAAACAAAGTAAGAATGAGAAAAACGTGTCCTGACAAGAAAATCAAGAACAGAATTAAGGCATGTAGCTTACAGTTTTGTTCTCCGTCAAAACATGGAAATGCCCTCTGGAGATGCAAGGATTCCATCCTAATTTCATACACCTGATCTTGCAACTGCTTCAATGATTGTTCAGAGTCGTGCAGCTTTTCTTCTATTACCACGACAGTTTCTCCCAAGTATGTGTATGAAGATAGTATCCCTTGGGCACTGGTGATCTCTGTTTGAAGTATAGCCATGAGTTTATCCAATTCACTCAACTCTGAGTCTAAAATCCCAGATAAGAGAGTGAGTTCCAGAGCCTTCTCAAGATAATAAGCTGATGTCTGCTCTTTTGCGGAAGCAAAGGCTTCAAATTCGCTCTCCTTGGTTGCCACGTGCATCATAAGAACATTTAGATTAACTAACTTCTCAGATGCACATGCTAGATCTAGTTCCACTCGGGTCAAAACCTCGCCAAGATGTCTTAATTCTCCAATAACCACACCATCAGATGAGACACTTCCGAGATTGCTAACTTTATTTGACTCCACTTCCAGGTCATCAATATTAACATCATTGACAGATACGCTTGCTTCATGACCAGCACCATAATCCATTTTAAGACCGCACTTGTTAAAGTGGTTCTGAAACCTGGATATCAAACAAAGAAAGAAAAAGACAGCTTCGGACGTAAATATGTAGAATTATCACCCAGAGGGAAGTTCAAATAAAAGATTCTTAACTTGCAAATAAATCAATAATGGCGAACATAAGTTCACTCCTAGAATATAATTAAATTAAACTACTGTTATCTAGGAGCCACTTTTCTCCAGTAACAAGACAACCAACACAATGGAACGTAGAGTATACAGTCCACAAACATGATCCTCTCAGTAGCAAAAATAGTTAATAACATATGAACCTACAAGGAAAGAAAGTCTTGCGAGGAAAAAAATATTTTGAGGAGCTGCGGTTTAAAAAGTCTGAAACTTCAATTAACTTTACATGGTGGATTGAAAAAGGTAAACCTCCATACTTGGCATTGTTACTACCACATTATATAAGGAAGCTGTATCTTTATAGCGTCCATATTCAACTCCGATGTTTGATATTGATTCTCATTTCCATAAATATGTGCCCACCAACATGGAAGTTTGAATTTCAACTACAAAAGCATATAGTGTACAACATAGGGTCGGCCTTCATAAATTAAACTCTTTTCACCTTTTCATTTATTCATTCACTTCATTTGATTAGTTGAGCATATTTAGCCCATCATACGACAGAGTAGACAAAAGATCAT